CCGCAGTAGGAGCTAAGATAGCAAAGTAGGTTTAATTCTAATGATATAATTTACTCCTTTGACCCTGATGATGTTTAAAATTTCTTCTTTCGCTTTCCTTAGCGTCAAAGTAGGTTGTATAATAGTAGGATCTTAGGAAGTAAAGTAGGTTCAGTTGCGAACCTGTGTTGAAGCTTTAGCTCTTACATAGAATATATGTATTTTACAGAATTCAAGGTTTAACATAGGGTTAAAATTTCGACTCGGAAATGAGTGTTAATATCGTCAAAATAGGTTTCTAGGCTGTAGATTATCTAACTAGGCTCAAGCTATCTTTAAGAGCGTCAAAATTTTGACAAGGTAGAGTTAAAGGTTCAAAAAAGAAGTTAATGAGTATCAATATCGTCAAAGTAAGTTTTACTTAGGCTATAAATCGTCTAAGTAGGCGCAGCCCGACTAGAAATTTACTCCATGGTCCTAATCGGGTTGACCATAACTGAATGTCGAGTCTATTTAAGATTATACTGTCGTGTCCTGAAAAGTCATATAACGTTGCGTCGTTATGAGGACCTTAATCAGGTTCATTATAATGTCCTCATCAGGCTATACTATTGAATTCCGTTTTCCCATACAGCACAATAATGTTAAATCAATGTTGAATAAATGTTGAATTGCAACAATGTCAATATTGCAGTAACATTGAGAAACATTGAATCAACGTTCCACAAACCTTGATATAATGTAAAAATGTCCGCTTAAAAGTTTTCCGCGTAGCTTTCATAAAAAAAAACTAATTCCTAATTTTCTTATTACTACTAATTATTATTATTATGTCTTATAACTGCTAGGAACTGAAAGATTGTCAAAACACTCTAAAACTTTCGCGAACCCTCCCTAAATAATTTCAAATCCGAAGCGGTATGCCAGTTATCCATCCATCCTGACTGCGTTTACTTAACCTGACGATCGAGCGGCACGCGGTGATTCCACTAACTCCAACGATGTTCTTACAATTTATGCTTATAAAATGTATATTTACAGTGTTCACAGTATATTATAACGTACCTAGTAAATACGCGCGTTGATTCACCTATCTATTTTATTTAATCTCTAAAGTTTATGTTGTTATTTGCAAAATGACTTCAATCATTCCTTTCAACTTAATGTTTTCATGTATTTTTTGTTACAGATACAACTTACGTCAGACTCTATATAATAGAGAATATTATGAAATAAAAGAATTTTATTTCAGGGTTTACGCAAAATTGCTTAAACGTATTTTAATTTTACATACAAACAATAAGAAAAATATATATGATTATTGTATACTGTAATATGACTAATACATATTAATATAATATGTAATATAATATGAATAATACATAATAATACGTATTAATATAATAACATTTAATATTAATTTATTTTATTATTATTATTATTATATAATAAAAAAATTTTTTATTAATATTCAATAATATAATTTTCAATGTTCCTCAAATATTGTTGCAATATTGCAAAATATCATATATATTTTATATTTTTATTATTATTCTCATTTTTTGTTGAGTATTTTAAAATTTTATATAAAATTTTATATAATTTTATATAAAATTTTATATAATTTATATTTCAACACTTTTTTGTAATACTTGAAATTAAAAAAATAAATATTTTTATGAAAAAATTTATAAAAATTTATTAATCAAACCTATTATATTTAAGGTTGTTACAAAAGGTATTAAAAACTAATAATGCAAATCATTATAAGTAAAATAAATAAGATCCTAAAAAGGATCTGATCAATAAAACATTATGAAATAATATATTAGGATAATACATTAAGGTCCTAATATATACCTAATCATTATAACCTTGCAAAGGTCTTCCTTACCCGATTTTTATCAGTACATGACTAGGTTGAACGTAGTAAGTATAACCTTGCGAAGTTAGGATCTTATACATTTCAAGTATACCTGATGACAATTTCTAGTCGGGTTAAGTAGCATCAAAATTTCGACTCAGGAACACTTCTATATATGCGTGGTTAGGTTTTCCGTTAAATATGGTAAAACTAAGCAACATACATTTATGTAAAATCTATATGTACAGGGAAAAATATAGTGTGATTATGTTGGTGACGATCGTTATTATACGTTATCGACATTCTTGGAGTTTGTCATCGACTCTAGCATCTCCTTAGGGGACGATGGCGTGTTTGAAAATTCTATCGACAAATACTAACTTTTTTCTGCAAAGTTTGTTATATTGATTGCATAGAAGTATAAATGCTTGTGCACAATGAAAATACCTGCAAAAACAAATTGAAGTATTGTTCAATATGTAACGGAAAAGATAGAAAATTTTGAAAATTAATATTTCGAGCAACGTAAATAATATTTGCCTGATACAAAAATTCTGTATATCAGAAAGATTTCTATATATACGCGTGCTTAGGTTTTCTATTAAATATAGCAAAACAAAGCAGCGTACATTTATATATAATATTCATATGTACAATAAATTTGAAAAAGAAGTGTAATCGTGGCAATCGCCTCTGCGTTATCGACATTTTTGGAGTTTGCTGTCCACATTAGCATCCCCTTAAATTTCGGCACATGATAACTGTGGTATCAGACAAACTAAAGCGCAAAATCTGGATAACTCTGACTTGTCACTGAAACGATATTGCTCGTTGAGATGCGCGGGCGGATGAAGTCCGATGAAATGGATGCGACAGACGACGGCGGGACGTTATGTATATTCGCGCGGTTCGATCTGTTTCGCAGGTACTTCACCGCGTTTTGTTTTGATAATGAATTATTTAAAAGGTCGGGATGTTTGGAACGGCAGTTTGGAAGAAATGAAAAACGGCCAGTTGAATAATGCACGAATTTCTCTACGGTGAGATGCTCGCCCAGACACACTTCGCCACAGTCGAACCACGCTTTCTACTTTAGGAAAACCTTTCGCGCGACGCCGAAAACGCCTACGACGCGGGCCTACGTATAATGCTGTTTATTATTATTGTGAAAATATAATATGATGTTCCACCTAAGAGTACACAAAGGGAGATAATTATCAGCAGCATAATTAGTGAAACTAATGAGCAATTACACAAAGTAATTAACGAATAACGAGAAAGCAAAACTCGATAATGCGGATTGATAACAAGAGTCACGATTTCGCGGAACGCAACGATGCGAGAGAAAAGTTCAATATGTTGACAATAAATTAGGGTCAAGATCGAGTAAACAATAAGTTCGAGCTAGAACAGGAAAGGTGTTATCCGAGAGCGTTGTAAATATCCCCAACGCGTTGGGATATTTGGGAGGCGCAAATATGAATTCTTCAAGGTGTTTCCTGGCGCATTTTAATCGGTCAGAGCGCGTCTGACGATCGCGTTCAGAAGGAAAACACGATTCACGAATACTTAGCCTCGTTTGGAGCTTAACCATGTATTCCCTCTGAACATTCAACCATAAAAATACGCGTAGAAGGTCCGAAGAGTTATCTTTTCTGCAGTTTGTTCCGAGTTTGAACGAACTTGACGTTTCCACTTTTCTTTACTATGTAAGCGCGGCGCACGAGGGTGAATCGATGAAGCGCTTTCTTCCCCTTATAATTTTTTAGATAACGAGATATCATATTATTTCTAGATTTACTCCCCATACAGCGGGTGTGGAGAGGGAGTGTCCATTATAATGAGATATACAATTGCACACAATATGATATATTGCAATCGCACGTTAATAATCTGTAACATGCAAATTGCTCGTGTTCGCGAAAGCTGTACAAAAGTTATTTCGAGAGAAAGAGAGTAGATTAGAGAGAGAAAGAGAGAGAGAAAGAAAGCGTTATTTATTAACCCTCCCTGGTTACCTGGAGTGTACAGCACCCCATAAATTTTCAATTTCAAATTCTCTTCGGAAGTAACGGAATTTCAAAAGCTAAATCTAAGTATATGATTTTTTTTGTTTTTCTAACTACTGGAGCATGTTTTTATGACCTTCAAGAATGTGTCAACACCACTAATAAATAATTTAAAAATGCGATCTGACTAAAATGGCAACACGAAAATGACATTGGGGTGTGCCACACCCCATGTGACCAACTTGTTATGATTAGGAAGTGTGGCCAGGAAGGGTTAAACATTCTAGGACATGATTCCTGAAGCGCATCAAAAAGTAAAAAAACTTGAATTTGATACGAAAATACAATTTTAGGTAGAAAAATATTTTAGATATATATACACGGTGAGAATATGTTTTGCCTTTTTTCATAATATGAAGATTTTATAAACACCATTTTGTAAACATCCAGTATGTGCCTTTTTTCATAATATGAAGATTTTATAAACACCATTTTGTAAACATCCAGTATGTGCCTTTTTTCATAATATGAAGATTTTATAAACACCATTTTGTAAACATCCAGAGAGAGAGAGAGAGAGAGAAAGAGAGAGGGGAAGAGGCTCTTTTATCGACATTCCCAAAGGCAGGAATTCCCAGGTATTCGGCTCCCAACGCCTGTTATCGTTTATCGAATCGGGTGAGCCGATGGTGAGCAATAAAATCTCATGCGGGTTAGCTACGTGTTCCTTGATTACATCGAGGATCGCGATCGCATTTTACGGCTCGCGCGCGCGCACGCACAGAAGACAAACTGATTTGAGCGAGCGTTCGATCGCAGACCGAGAGAATCCTCTGCTAGTGCAGGAGAATTTGGGCCACGCCAGGTGTCAAAGGCCACGTCGCCGAAATCGATGCTCGGCGCTCGGAACGGAAACGGGAGGAGAAGCCGCTGTGTGACGCGGCATTTTACATTTACGTCTCTCGACCTTTCGCCACTATTAACAGGCGTATACACTGTCGTCTCAAGGTCACGGGGCGAGTCACAGCGCAAATGCACCCGCGCCTTCGCGAGTAGGCCTTCTGCCGGGACGAAACATGTCCTCAATTGTTAGTGAGAAATGCTTAAAGAAACGCGCTCAAAGTGCGCGGCTCGCGAGGAATACTCACACAGCGAAATGGTAGACGAAACACAGCCAGCCGCCGGGATGCTCGAGGAACACGTAGAGTCTCTCCTGAAAGGTCTTGCCCTTCTTATGGTGGAACACGTATTTGGCCTTGAAGGCCTGATCGATCGGCAAGTAGATCGGATAGTAAGGATCAGGCACGCCGGCCTGGTCGGGACTCGGCGGCTCCTCCTCCTCCTCCACAGCCCCGGTCACGTCATTGATGTCCTCTTTGCTCTTTCTCCGTCTGTGTTTCCTCTTCATGGGCGTCGGCACCCGCTTATGGTGTGCCTCACCGAAGCGCGGCGAACGGAAGCGACGCAGAAAGGTGAATCTACGCGCGGGCGACGTCGCCGGTTCCTCCGCGTTCGCGCCGTTGTCCTCGGTGTCCTCGGTCTCGCTGCCGGGGGTCTTCAGCGCGGCGTCCTCCGCCTCGAGGCCGTGCTCGGCCTCAACGAGCTCGTCCTCGCTGCCCTGCAGGGCAGCGTAGGCGGTCGCGGCGCTGCACCGCTTTTCCGCGAGCCTAGAGCATTGGTCCTTGCTTCGTGGAAGACTCTCGTTGTTGTACGCATCACCTGGGCATTTCCAGGATATTGTGGGCCAGGGATTGGGCCAGGGGATTGTTGCGCCGCGTGATCACCGTACGCGACACGCTCGATCCTCGAGGCTCGTGGTGATTACTCGACGAACACAGCGCGTCTTTCCACAGTCCCCCTTGTTGGGTTCTCCCTCCGGAGGAACTTAGTCTTTATGGTTATCGTGATTCGACAACGTTAATGTCACCGAGATAATTGGATCCCAATTCGATGCAAATTCAAGTTACAGACGATCTGTAACGACAGGGTTCCGATCGATGAACCTCGTGTCGTCGACAGTAAATAGATAAATCGGTCATTGAGCGGGGATTATTCAAATATTTGACGTGGCTCGAGTAGGGCATTTGCAATTCTAACCGCTTGAACCGCGGTACAATATCTTGCCACATAATACACGCGCGAATATCGCTTCACGATCGGGAGGATTCTACTTATGAAATTGGATAGATAATAACGTCCTTCTCATTGAATGCATTCCTCCGAATAAAACGTTTTAGAGGATGAGACCAACCAAAAGAGAGAGACAGAGAGAGAGAAAGGCAATCTCGGTCTGAGGTCCCTTAACTCTCTGATACACTCAAACACTCTGGGCACATAACGCAGATTGCAAAAAATCACTTACATCCCAGCCGACTTTCGATGTCTGACAAAATGAACAGGAGAAAGTACGCGACTTCGGGGACACCCTACATACATACGAGGGTAACGTATATCCTTCGCGGACGCTCGATATCTGTACACGCCACTCTGATAAATCGCTTAGCACTATCTGCACGCTCATCACGAGCTTCCTGACTACACCCTGGCGAAGTCGAGTTTCTTACCGGCAGGGCCCAGTGAAGAGATAAATTCGGACGATTACGTGCAATTTCGCGGTACGCCAACAAAGAATCGGAACCTTACCGGCAACGCGCCATCGGATAACAAAAGTCACTCGAGCCAGACAAAATTTTCCACCTTCCACCTTTACGCCGTCTCTCCCATCCGTACCGTGAACGACAATAAGAAGTTCACCGAGCCAATTAAAAGTAGATTGAACGAGTGGAAGCGTAATGTCGTAATTAGAGAGTAACTGAGCAGTCAGTGTAATTACTCATACGTGCGAAAAAATACGTGATTACATGCCCGACAACGAATGTAATGAAATATTCGTGAACTTGGGATACGTTAGAAAACACAAAGTAAGGCGACTCTCATTAGAACCACATTGTCTCTCATCGATCGCGCTTTTGGCGCTCACACGAACATTGTCGATTTCCCAACGACGCGTTCAGTTTGTTGGAAAAACGTGGGAAATCTCACCCTCCAAATTACGATATACGTCACGTTGCCAAATTGGTGAAGTGCCAATCCATTCGTGACAATTCTCTTGGCTTTATAACGCACAATATTCACAAAAGGGTGCATTCATCTAAAAAACAAGCGCGACCACCGCAGTTTCCGAGTTCCTCAGCCGTCTCTTTTCAAACGTTGGTCTTAGAGACTCGTTCAACGCCAACGAAGAGATTGAGAATTAATGAGATAATGTTAGGTACTTGCAAAAATTTGTAAAGTCACCAATAGATGGTTGTAGCAACAAATTAATAATTGTTTTCCTTTCAGTTACTTTTCAGTTTTTAAATGTTGACTACACTCGATCAGGATATTGATGGTTGACAATTCATGATTCTGAATAAAATGTTAATTTAACGCGATTGAAGATGAAACCAAATAAAGTTCATTTTCGCCACTACATGCTTCATCACTTTACTCGAAGTGAAACTGCTGCAATAACTAAAAAACTGATTTGAGACCCATAGAGAATATTCGCTGCTGTCTGTGAGAAGTATTTAAAAGAAATGGTGATTATACGATGTAGATGGCAAGCTACGTATTGCTCATTCTTCAAATCAATGGAGAATAACAAATTGGAAGAATTGCTCAACCAAAACTCGGCCCAAACAGAAAACAGGCTAAAAGAGCTTGCAAGACAGCTTGAAGTTGATGAATCAACAGTATCCTGTCATTTGAAAGCAATGGGAAAGATACAGAAGGAAAGATGTCTCCACTATGAAGTCTCTACTGTTTTACGAACTAGCTTATCATCCGCCTTTTATTGCTTGCCAGGCATAAAAAAGTTTTTTGTGGCGAATAGTTACAGATGATAAAAAGTAAATCTATTTTGACAACCCTAAACGCAAAAAGTCATGAATTGGTCTACCATCGGCATCTACAACAAAACACATCCACGGTCATAAGATCCTCCTGTTTATTTACTGGAACTAAGGAGTGTTTTACTATGAGCTATTACTGCTAGGACAAACAGTCATAGATCGCTACAATTATATAGCGATCAATTATGACGTTTGAATCAAACCATGAAGGAAGAATGCCCTCAAATATCCGCGAATTGACGCCAATAACTTGAAAATATCTCGTAAATTGTTAGCATTCACTAAAATAAATAGAGAAAAGAATTGTACTTGTTTTTTTTGCGATTTTCACACTAGTTAATAATGCATTAATTAATGATCAGAAAATAAGCGCACATCTCGCGCACTATCAAGCCACAGGACGCCGTCAAGGACAAAATATAATTTTGAACATTATTATTAATTGTTATAGAAATCGCAAAATGGTACACATGTTTATTGTTTAATAAGCTATATCAAATCACACTTCATCCTACGCCAAGTCGCATGTTGCGGCTACACTGTTTGGCTTTAATATCATACGAACTCTTGCAAGCACTCGATAGAAACGCCAAATCCGGCTACCTCGGAAAGATGTAAGAGCTTTATTTGGTTGGCGCGCCAATTCCGCGCACCAAGTTGGTTTAATATCGATGGAAGACAACCGAAGTCCATCCGCGTGATTACCGTCCAATGACTGTCTACCCACAGGAAGTAACAAAACATTAATGTTGCACATCTGCGCCTTTCTCATGTTTCTTGATCCATATCGCGATCGACACGGTATCGCGACGCTGTATTGCGGATTGTATAAGTGGTCTCTATACAGAGACCAATGTCGCGTATGCTTTAATCGGAGCCTTGAACGTCGCGATTGAAAGAGGATAACGTTGATTTCGCGTTACCTAGGTCTGAATGCAGCGTCGGATTAAGTGGATAGAGGCGAGCTACGCAAATAATTTGCCCGCGCAAAACCGTCTGACACACTGAAACACCGTGAAACACTTTCTCCGTTATTCGCGATTTCGTTTTTCCATCTGAGGGACAATTTCAGCAACGTGTTGCGAGGAATTAACGGCAAACAGAACGAGCTAATGCACGCAAACATGGCGTAGCGTTATAATATTTATCACGCGAGGCGCGGGACAAACGCGGAGCGTTATCGAAGAAGAAGCGGAACAATGGAAACCACAAAACCAACTCGCGCGCTTATGCATTAACGCGAGTGAATTGTACGTGGAGCTCTATTTATGAAAGCATCTGTCTCTTTCTCTCTCTCTCTCTCTCTCTCTCTCTCTCTCTCTCTCTCTCTGTCTCTATTCCTCTTTCCTTCTCTCGGCGACATTATAAAACTCCCTCACGAGATCCAACCGCGTCGCGGATCGAGCCTCGAGTATCGAGCGAGGAGAGACCTCTCTCCTGCCTCCGGTCGAGCAGAAGTCAGGCTTCGCGAGTCTGCCTTCCCGTTAAGCCGACCGCGCGAATTCACTGACCACACGCGAATCCTCTCTTCCGGCCTGGAAAGGGTGCAGCACGTCTCTGACACACGCTCGCCGTGCCCCGGCAAGGTGTAATACCGTATGCTTTCGCCGCGACACTGAGATCGCGTGCCTCTTTCACGACGGAGCGTGTTAAAAATGCAACACAAGCGCCGTTTCGTTTCGTGCCGCCACGCGTGACGGTCGCGCTAATTAAAAAGAATGCATAAATCGAGACGCGTGCAAGTCGTCTCTGATGCGAGAGAGCCTTGGGAGGAAGCGCGGCTTTGAAATACGGTTTTCGCGCGACTCTAAAGCGCGGGAGACGCGTAAGAGCACCGAAACGAAAAGAGCGATAAAGTTGAAGGAAAAGAAAAATGACTCGGTCACGAGGCTCACGCGACGAGCGCGACGAGGAACAAGAAACAGCTTAGCCTCGTGGTATACCTGAACGAAAGCACTTCTTATTATGAGCTTGGCAGTTAAAGTGGCCCTGGCTGTGCGACTGATACGGGTGCCGATACTGCTGCCGTTGCTGTTGCAGCTGCTGCTGCTGCTGACTGATCGGTGACTTCAGGACGCTCAGGACGAGGTCCTCGCGGGCAGGTACGATGATCTGCCGGCTCTGCCGGAAGAGGTTTTCCTGCTCGCCGCGATTCATCCTGCAGCCAAGACGACGACTTTGGAGATAGAACCCCGGATACCACTCGCGTCTCCCCCGTCCTGGACCGCTACCTAGCATAACAGCGTGCAGCATCCCGGTTCTATCTTTCCCGTCGCGATCGAAGAGCGCCTCTCTGTCTGCCGGACGATCGCCCGATCACGCGGTCTGTCCATGGTCTGTCCGATCGAATCGCCGAAATCTGCGTTCACGGCAACGAACGTGTCCCGAGGATGATATCCCGATCTCGTGTTCACACGGATTCCACCTTGACCGCGACAATGGCAGGATTATCCTGGCCTGGCTTGGATTCTTGATCGCGTTAGGGCTCTAGTTTGCCGATATGGCTGATCGACTCGTAATAGATGCGTTGTCCTCCTGCTCAACGGCTTCTTCGCGACCTCGGATGTATCTCGGATGGAGTTATCCGACCTGGCCGTCGTCACCGAAACCGTCGTCGGTCGCGTCCGAAATGCATTGCAATGCGCGAGGTGAGATGCAGCACTCCACGTTAGACATTGTTGATGCTTGATGTTGGACTTGACTTATGAGTTCTCGATATTTCGAGGGTCGCAGGGAGTCTGATGGATCAAGGGGATTGTTTAATCGTCTTCTCAGAGTTTCTCGTCTTACCTTGACGATTACGTTCTAATCAATCTCCACTTGGGATTGAGGCGTCGACGAATATATCACGAGTCCCTGTCCCATTGCCGGCTATCCTTGTCTTTCCCACGAGCTTCGCTCGTCGCTAAGTTTCTCTCATATCAGTCCCGTTCAATTTCATGGGGTGGACTGACGACCCGTGCGACCGAGCGACTCGCGTTTGCAGACCAAACCGCCGCCTCGGGGAGACGTGAAACGATCGCGGACGCCAGATGTGGATACTCGACGGCCGAGTTATGCATAATGTTCGTGATATTGCGCGACCCGCCGAAACTTCTTAGACTGTCGAGGGTGGATAACGTGCATGTGTGGGGTCGCGCACGAGAGGGCGAGGAGGGACAGTAAGTGGAGAAAGAGAAGCGGAGGATAAGAGAGAGAAAGAGAGAGAGAGAGAGAGAGAGAGAAAGGAGAGGAAAGAAGATAGAGAGTACGAGAGGGTGAGAAAGTCGAAATATATCCTCTCCCCGACCTCCTGGAAGATGGATGTCGATTGTGAGCAGAGGATGCTGGGACCTCGCGATCGATCTTACCTACGGAAATCCTTCGAGTATTTATTCGGACTAATATGGTAATGGAATTCCGGACAGCGACTCCCCCGGGTCTCCTTTCCTTCGGCGAGTATCTCTCGTACTCCCGCGTGTGCTCGAATACGTTCGATTATCGTTCGTCAAACGGGATCGTCGAGTGTACTCCCTCGCGTCGTCGTCTCCCCCGCGACACCTGTGCGATCTCTTTTCTCTCTCTTCCTCTCTCTCTCTCTCTCTCTCTCTCTCTCTCTCTCTCTCTCTCTCTCTCTC